ATCTATCTATCTATCTATCTAGATACATATATATATATCCTCTGTAAGGAGCATTTTATTGGTAATGAACTAAAAGGTTGACTAAAATTGTTGAAACTTGATAAGATGTGTACATTTTTTAGCAAAATATTTTAATTAATGCTTTATTTATTTATATAGGTTTTAATCCATTTAGCCTTTTCCTTTATGGATTATCGCCTCAAATCGCTATCGGAAGTGCAATCTTACTTTTAAGGACAGAGTGTGATCAGATTTATTGTCATTTCGTTTTGATTACTAAACTCATTCTTATTGTTTATCGGAAAAGTTTCAATAAATCTCTTAAAGACTGGACTTACTGTTTAAAGCCCCAAAATCCATTTTTTAAAAGGACTTTCAGATGAATCATCTTTGAACGAGAAATATTAAGGCAAACAGCCAACTTTAATTTCAACAACTGAATGCAAACTAACTGCTATTTTATGTACCAGTGTGAGGGTCTGAACAACTTCCATTCATCTAACAATCAGCTGCACTACATCAATATGTCCACTAGGGAGCGCCCCTTTCTTTTTCTAAAAGCTGTAAATCAAACAATCTGTATTGTTGCGTCACAATAGCTGATTCCATCCTTTAAAATCTAACCAAAGCAATTCAGTTTTTGAACATTTTATTTTTAAAGAATTTAGATCTTATGCCACATGACACAATTATAGTGCTTATTTGTTCTCTTTAAACTGAACTTTAATGTTTAATTTAGCAGAGAAATAGAAATAAAAACAGATGCATAAGAAAAAACATGTTACCGGTATATGATATTTTATTGCTCAAATAGACCTAGCTTTTTGTTACCATATTACATTAAATCAGACTAATCTTTTCTTGTTTTAGTTCAAAATAATGACTATTAAATGGCAGAATTAAGTTATACTTTTTAAAAATATGAACCATCTTTGTTGTGTGTTTTGCAGCTCTGCTCACTAATTATCAGTGGGACTGAGATCAGGGGATTGGTTATGGTCATTGCAAAGCGTTGACTTTGTTGCTATTATGTCATTTTCTGTAATATGATAGTATCTTCAAGGTAATTCCTCTTTTAAATGATCAACTTGTGTCCAAAATTTAACTTCTTGGCTGATATTTTGCTTCAATATTTCTACATAATGCTTTCTGCTTATGATGCCAATTATTAAGTGTAATGTTCCAGTCCCTGCTGCAGCAATACATCCACACGACATTATGCTACCATGATGCAAAAATTGAAACGCAAGTCAGTCATTTCGTTTGTATTTATATGTGTATTTTCCCTTATTTTGAGCAGATAATACAATCTGATAACAGAATATGATATTTTTTATAAAAAAAAAGAAAAGGAAACCTTCATAATCTTAAATCACAGTAAATCAAGTGTTTAATATCTAAACACCTTATTATAAGGGCAAATGAGTTAACTTGTTCGCTGGGAAAGTGTCTCATCTACCTTCTCAAATTATTGGCAAATAATTTTTTTTTTTGCAGAGCGCCTGCCTATGTTTGAAAAAATGAAGTTTTTGTCCATGAATGCATTTGACAAACTGTAAGTTGGCTGTTAAGCTGTTTTTTCCTTGCTAAGAGAATTTTCCAGACTGCTCAGCACGGCAGCTGTTTCCACTGATGTGACATCAACTTCATGCAGCGTCCTAACGCTCTCTTTTTGTTTTTATTGTCTGGTTTACAATCCACACACAACATAATTATGCCCCTTTTTTTAAATGACATGATAAGTAGTTTTAGTCTGTAATGTAATATGACTTACAAATCAGGGGCAAGACTTTAAAAAAGGAAAATAGAAATAATAAACAAGCAACACTTATGACGTCACTGCCATCTGCCATCTCCTGGTGTAATGCAGGACATTGAAAAAACAGTGAAAACAGCAGCCGGAAAATAGACCTCAAAGTAATGCATTATGATAAAGACAAAAAAGGAAACTAAGCAAATTCCCTCTTAAAATTTAGTTAGTTTGAATTAGTTGTATTACTGTTTTTTCTTTTTTCTTTTATGTATTTCAGTTCACAAAAATCATTTTTAATTGTACTTTGTTTTATTTTGTTACTTTTATTTAACAACAATGACCTTGACCCTAAGGAACCCTGTTAAAGAATATCATCATAGACGCTCTGGAAGTTTTATGAAAAAATTCAGGTGAATCATTATTGGGTGTTTTAGCAGATATTGGCCCATGTGTTCACATCAACACATAAATGGGAATGAGAAGACATTGAGGATCAAAAAAATATATGTAGCTTTGAAGTTGTTGCACCCACACAGTGTTGTAAAATTCAGAATACAAAGATTATTTTGGTTAGTTAGAGTCTAACGTAATTCAGGTAAATTATAGTAACCTCCTGCAGTTATCACGTCTGACAGGTACATTACTTGGTGGTCAGTGTGATTCATATATATATATATATATATATAAAACCCTACTTTACATTAATTTCACAATTTGTTCATAGACTGCTGTAAAAAATATTTAGCATTTAAGATAAAAACAATTTTGTCTGTCAATATGCTCTATCTAGAACTCCGCAAGTGCAAAAAATTCCGTTTAACCTGGTTCAATTATTATTTTTTTAATTGTATTTAATGAACCTTTTGCTATCGAAACAATAATCGGTAGATTAATCAATTATCAAACCTATTTTCTTATGCAAAGTCTACTAGAGAAACTGAAAGCACATTAGCTGTCAAACAAACACACGTGCCTCTTGTATCTATGCAGTGTTTGCTGCTCTAAACTTCTTACACTCTGGCTACCGTGGCACAACCCACCTTCCTGATGTTTCCAGGCCCTTCCTCCCCCGCTGCTCTAGGAAAATTATAATGGTTTCCTGTGCCTCACGTTACAAAAAAAGCCTTAGCCTTGGATAAACATGACCCCACGCCTTTTCACCATGAAAGGTGGCTGTTCAAAACCAGACACAAAATCTGTGGATTATGACTCATTGCCTTTAACCTTTCAGCTCATATACTGCATGAGAAAAAATATGTATGGTTTTTTTTTGTTATAATTTTGTCATTAAAGTTTAAAGTAGGTAGGATTTTGCTCATTTACTTGGATAAACTATTTCAGCAAGTAATATTACAGGGCCTAAAAATCGTCTAAACTTATTTACATTTTGTTGCGTTAAAACCAACACCTTGTAGTGCCTAGTTGTGAAGAGTGATAAAGCATTTTATATGTCCATCTTTCTAACCAGAACGATCGGCATGCGACTGCATTCAGCCGCCGTTTACTCTGACAACCCAAAATAAAACCCAGTACAACCAAAGTAACACACTGTAGTTGGTATCCAGAGGTCAGGAGTTTGGAGTTTATTACAGCTGCTTTATAAAGGTTTGTTAGAGAACGTTAGTGGCAGTAAAAGCAGGAAGAGAAAAGAAGTGCAAATGCTCCTTGAAGATAGTAGTCCAACTGGGATGGTTGGGGATCATTAATAACCCTACTTTACATTAGTTTAGCAATTGATTCATAGACTACTGTAAAAATATTTGCTTTTGCACATATTGTTTTATTCTTTCAATACATTAAACATCGGGAAATATGTTATTTTCTGCGCATTTTGCCTGTAATAACACTGAACATTACCACATCCCACTGTCTTCCAGCTGGCAACTACAACACTCTCAAATCAATCAAAATTCAAAAATAATTTATGAATCCTAATAGATCCACAGGTCAGGTGGGAGAATCATTTTACAGGATAGCAAAGACTGGCTAGAAGAATGACATTAGCTAGTAGAATTGCCCTTTGCAGGGAGGTACAACCCTGCAGGAGAAACAGCAAACACACGAATGAAGGTGCTTGAGTTAAATAAGATCTAAACAGTTAAATTGGACTAGTTAAATAAGATCTGAATGTTATATGCAAACACTGTGCTGGTGGAGATCATAGTCATTCCAAGAAAGTTAAAAAACAAGCCACTGGACTTTGTTTTCCAAGTTTGAAGACGTCTCGCTTCGGAAAAAGATGAAAAAGCTTCCCAGATGGGAAGCGAAACGTCTTCAAACTTGGAAAACAAAGTCCAGTGATTTGATTTTTTTTACTTTTTTGGAAAACTTAACACTGGTAACACTGAATACACAGTCGCCAGCTTAAAGGTACACTATGCAACTGGTGTTGATTTTCCAGCGAGGCTCCCCCCAGAGGGCGAAAGTAAAAGTGCACTGTCGTAAATATGCACAGCTGTTCTCCTGGTTTCTCCGTCAAGCCAGGCGCGGTTGTTTTGAGCTTAGCAGACAGGCGAACGCAACGAATGACTAAGCACCTGACGCGCCGCAAACGCGCTGCTGCTCGAGATGGAAAAATTGATTTATTTCTGCTCGACGCGCCGTGTCAACCAATCAGAGAAGCTGATCTGGGAGCTGGCAGGGAGAGAGACACAGCGCTGATGATCAGAACCCTATGATCACTCCTCTTAAACAGTTTATTGACGCCTAAATTAACTTAAAATGCAGAAATCTGCCGGCAGAATATGTTCGCTTTTATTATCCTGCTGCCTGCAGTTTGGATTATGTAGATGAAAAACACCTACCAGCTGCCGCGGTGAACCGCGAGGAGGCGACCCGGCCAGAGGCTGCTGATGAAGGGATTCCTACTGTCGGCGCACCGCTGGTATGATGGGGTCTGAGCGGCTCCGACAGAAAAAATATTGTAAGGCAGGATGATAATCTGAATGAACTGACTGCCCTGATTACATTTTCAGGTGTATTTTCTCACTTAAAAACATATTAAAACTACTTTATTCCCACTGATCACAGCAAATATAGCTGCAAGGCAGAGAAAGGATAGTGAAGCTCCGCCCAACGCGCGTCAGACACACTTTTGCACCGCGCAGCCAGAGCAGCAAAGCTGCTTCAGCCGCGTGTCAGAACTAACTGGTACAAGCAGTAAAAATGAAGCAGCAGACGCGATTTTGCTGCGTCCGGTGTGAAAGCAGCACTGCACAAAGATCGCCACTGTGCTAGCAACGAGCATGCTTTTAACTGGGGGGTTTAGCAGTTCTCGCCGTAAAGCAAGACCGACTCTCGCGAGACTTCTGAGCCTGTGGGTGCGGGTCGGTGCTCCTGCAATTGCAAGTGCGGTATTTCCCCCACAGACCACCAGGGCGGCCGAGAATACCTTTGTTCAACCTGAAATGACTCATCTAATATTCCAAAACGTTATGGAACACATTAATTAACTGAAAAATGTTGCATAGTGTGCCTTTAAGGCATGTCTTTTTCCAGGGCAATCATGGAAGTCATGTTACAATATGCATGTTTTCAGATTAAAGCATGCATTTGTTTTCAAATGCAGTTAATCAAAACCATTTTTGTTTTTCATTTCACCTTTATGTCTTTTTTTGAGAGGCTATCACAAGAAATCCCAGTAAAACACGTTAGAGTTTAGGACTGTAACATGAGAAAATGTTTAAGGTGTGTGTGTACGTCTGTTAGGTGGTGTATATGAAGCTTTCTACCAGGAGTAAACAGTTGAGTCTTTTTGTGTCAGATGTATGTTTTCCTTTGCCAACTGAAGCTCTTATTTATTTATTTTTACACAGCTGCCAGCATTGTGTTTCCACCTTGTAATGTAGAACAAAAATCTGTGCTCATCATTAGGGAGGAAAAGCTGTTGAGTGTATTCAGTCCCATCCAGGTTTTAGTCACATTCAGCCATAAGGAGATGGTTGGATGTTCCTGGAAACCCCCGTGTGTCCTCCATCATGTGGTCGGCACACAGACTGAGACAGAATCGGAACATTTTATAGACAGTGTGATGTGACAGCTATTCGGTTTCTGCGCTCATGCTGGTGTGCCACTGAAACACATCTGTTCTGACAACAGCAACTCTTGAAACAGTGGGAACCCAAAAGCCAAAGGAGATAAAAAAAAAAAAAAAGTTATGCTTGTTTCAGTTTGGCATCACAGAGACAATGCTTTCCTTTCTGGAGCAGCGGTATCTTCATGCATGTGTTGTATTGGCGATCAGCTCTGACAGCCCTGTGTGTCTCTGCAGCTCAGCAAACCAGCTGGTCACATCTTCACGGTGAAGAGCTTTAAGAAAAGACGGGCATGTGACGTCTGCGAGAAGAACATTGAAGACCCAGGAGCGTTCTGCAAGGGTGAGTCCACAGCTTTTCAGATCAGGTGTATCAGGTCCAATGTCAGGCGTGACCAGCATGGATGCAAGCAGACAAGATCCTCCCAGCAGTCTTCTTTTATGCATCTCAAAGCTGATTCTTCTCTTCTCTTTTTCTCCTTGATTGCAGAGTGCAAGATCGCTGTTCATAAGATGTGCGAAGCAAAGGTATGCCTAAAATATCTAACTTAATTTCACCCAAAGCAAACACCGGAAGCTTTTCTATGCTGAGAAAGAGCTGCTCCTGGGGAGCGATGTTTAAGCAGACATAAACTTTGAACTTTCTCACATTTTTGTCACTTAGCCACCATGAATTTTAAGTGAGGTATTTTTTATTTGATAGCCTGACATAAATCAACACATCATTATTAAAAAGAAGGAATTTTTTATATATATATATATATATATATATATATTTTCTATTAATTAATTGATCAAATTTAGAGTTCAATTGCTCTGTGTCTGTATGCAAGTAGCCAGTGTAACTCACTACACTCAGAACTCACCTAATTAGTCATAATTACTGTGATTTCTTTCAGATTATTATAAGAAGGGAATCTCAACAACAAAATACAGTTAAATACAGTTCATACCGTGTCAATATTCTGAATGGTGACAAGCTGTGGTGAAATTCAAATGGTTGCTTGTCGTCTTTGGTTTTATTGATCTTGTTTTGACATTTTTCAGCAAAATATTAGAATAACTGTGACTGATTTAGTATAAATATGTTTTTTCCAGTATGTGAAACATAAAAAGACAAACACACCTTGCTATCATCACATCAGTTAGCATCAGAACGACATTGTTGGTCTCACAGGTAAACTCAGCTTAGAGAAGCAGATTTAGCAGGCAGGACTGTTTAAAACATTCTCAGTTTAATTCTAAAATAGTTTTATAATCCCAACAGGAAAACAAAAGTTGTAATTGCTATAATTTCGTTGGTTTGTTTGTTTGTATTTTTTTTCAACCACTTGGTTTAGAGGTTAATGTCTTTTAACAGGAAGGATCCTCTGTAGCTGTCTGTCTTGCACCAGATTTCGAGAAGCCTCTGACTGAAGGAGCACTGTTGTTGTTAAAAAATCAGAAGAAAAGGACGCTCACTGTTGTCCATAATTCTTCTGCTGTGAAATTCTCTCCAGAGGTTCTAGAGGAGTTTTTAAAACAGAACCGACCATGATGCAACTTTCCACAGCAGACTTATAAAAGACATGCAGCTTCTTTCTGCAAATAGAAAAGCTTCCTTAAGAAATACAGTCTGCTCTGCCCCTTCTTGTAGACAGCTTCACAGTTGAATTGACTGTCTAAGTAAATGCAGAGGTACTGTACTTTTCCACCCTCTCCACTTCTTCTATCATGATTGTAATGGTATTGGACCTGAAATGTTAGGATCATTGGATCTCATCCCAGCTTTTGTGAGGACGGGAGAAAACTCTCCATCCATTATTGTTAAGGCCAGTAATGTGAAGATTAACCAGGCCAGCTTTCTAAGGCCCAGAGTAAAGGGGGACCCTGAACCAACTCTGTCATCTTATACCTAAAAGATTTTTTGTGTTATTAGCTGTGGTGCAAGAATTGACAAATACTCCTGTATAGGTGCTGAAATATCTTCAGAAAAAAAGAAAAAACTGAGCCAAGGTACAGTTGTGAAAAGTCCAGACTTCTTTTTAATTTCTTTCACTTTGCCCTTGCAGTATTGGGGGAGTACATCTCCAGCTCACATTCCCATAAAAGCCTCTCTGTTCAGGCTGCCATCACTGTTTGCTAGTGCTCTTATGGCACTTACATAATTAGGATCAACCAGTATTGTTAAAGGAATAGTACACCCAAAACATGATTAGCCTTCATTTTCTACTCACCCCCATGCTGAACAACACTCTGGAGTACTTTTTTGATATCTCAAATGCATCTGGAGATCTGGGAGGCTTATTGCTGTCTGCTGACATTCAAATAATGGAGGTCTATGGTGCCCGGGACAGAAAGGTCCATAAAAGTCCACAAAAAACGTGTCAATATTCCTCCATACTGCTCGTCCAATGTATCTCAAGTGTCCTGAGTGGGTAGCGTCCATAATTTACTCGAAACAAAGTCATTTAGAATGTTTTTAGAGCATAAACAGTAGTGTATAGGATTTCCTAAAAGCGCGCGCCTGCGAGTTCACGAGTCTACGGAAACCGCGGCAGACCAAACCAGATGAAAGTGCGCATTCAGCGTCTGCTCTGCCGATAATGCAAGCGTAGAAGAAGAAATGTGCTGTTTACCTGTGCAAAGAAAGAAACAAAGAAAGAAAAATGTCTGAGGACTTGAGTGTTGAGGAAGAGCATGAGTTCTTTGCCGAGCTGAATGCGCACTTTCATCTGGTTTGGTCTGCCGCGGTTTCCGTAGACACGTGAACGCGCTTTTCGGAAATCCTATACACTACTGTTTATGCTCTAAAAACATTCTAAATGACTTTGTTTCAAGTAAATTATGGACGCTACCCACTCAGGACACTTGGAATACATTGGACGAGCAGTATGGAGGAATATTGACACGTTTTTTGTGGACTTTTATGGACCTTTCTGCCTCGGGCACCATAGACCTCCATTATTTGAATGTCAGCAGACAGCAAGAAGCCTCCCAGATCTCCAGATGCATTTGAGATTTCAAAAAAGTATTCCAGAGTGTTGTTTAGCATGGGGGTGAGTAGAAAATGAAGGCTAATCATTTTTTGGGTATACTATTCCTTTAAGAGGCTACTCTGTTTCTAATTTGATCTAATTTGGTCAGGACTGATCGTGAGCCACGCCCACCTGCAGGCTCAGGCTAAAGGTTAAGAGCCGTGGAGAAGAAAGATTATCCTGTAGTACCTGAGCTGCTAAAGAAAGGTTTTGAACTTCAAATTTGGAGCTCTATTGTGACCATTTCACACAAACAGAAGTCTATAAATAGTACTAATTGTGACTGCAGCAGGTATAGAAAGTCAAAAGTGCAATGCATTAAAAAGAGGCATTATATCTATTTGTTAAATATAAAATTTGAAAATGACTTGCAATCCATGCATCAAATAATAAAAAAATAAGGATCCCTTTGGCCTCTTCACAACCTCTGTTGAGCATTTTTCCTTTGGATAAACTTTACATGCACAAGTGCACGCTAACAAACAACTAAAGGTGCTTGGTTCAAGGTACTTAGATTCACTTCCATACAGAAAGCCCATATTCTTATCTTGAGTTATGAATTATAATAAAGTTATTTATATGCATAAATCAAGCGGAACACTATGGCGATACTGCTCCACTTGTTAAAGCATAATCTGTTGGGCTCTTTTTGGCATCAAGACAATTATTCTTATTGCCACATTGCCAGACAGGACACTGTTAAAAAAAAAATGCTGAAAATTCATTTGCGATTTAAAAAAAAATTAATTATCAGTCAATATTAAATACATATATTTAGAAAATTGCCGTATGCCAAAAACATGAATTTCTTTCAGCTCTCGTTTTACAAATCAAAATCTTTCTTGATCCAAGAAAGTCAGGTATAATGTTTTGTATTTGTGATCATGTGATCTGCTGACTTTCATCACTAGCTTTAACACAGAAAGCCAAGAAGAGTATTTAAAAGTGTACATTTTTAGGCATTACTTTACTAATTTTATGAAATTTGATTAATTGTATATTAGATTCCCCATTACTACATTAATTGAGCAATAGAAATTTACATTTATTTATAAAGTACATATAATATATTATAATTAAATAGACTAAGTTTGAACTTATCCATCTCTTCTGCCCCGTGAACCAGCATAGCCTGCCAGCTGGCCTGGCTTTGACTGATTCGTTTTTCTATCCGCTGTGCAGAAAAGCATCACCACACCATGATGCTACCAACACCATGTTTTAGAGTAGGGGGATTTTGTTGGTGATTCAAGTATGTTATAAAGTTGGTTTATTTGTCTTATCTAAAATGAGCTCCTTCTTTCATATGTTGTTTTCTTTATATGTTGGTTTGGAAGAACTTTAATCGGATCTGTGAAGGGCTTCCCTTTTTTATTTTACCATCTTATTTTTTTCACTTATAACACCTGCTGTTTTTGGTTAAATTGAAACATCTGTTGTTTTAAATTTGGTACGTTCAAGTCACCATTAAGGTAAGTTATCTCATTTTTCAAAATAAAACACCCTAAAAAGTTAAATGGCCTCTTTTAAGTCAGATGCTGGAAGCCTGGAGGATTATTTATTTATTTCTTTTACAGATTTTTCTTTACTTTTTTTTAGCTGAGATATTATCGCTCTTGTGAATTCCTCAGCACAATAGTGCTAAAGCTTAAATAGAATGGGTTGAACTAATCGAATGTACAACCAGGAAATGTATTTTAGTTTTAGCTACATTATAGCTGCAAATGTATTTAACAGACTCAATGATATGAGGTTGTTAACTGTTCGGTTTTTGAACTATTTAAACCTTTAGAATAAAACCTTTTTTTTTCATCCTCACATCTCAAATAAGTATGATGCTAAAAAAAATCTATGAATAAATGAAAACATACAAGAATGGAAAAGATGTTGGAAACCTGTGCGTTTGGACAAAGAGCAGACTGTTTCACTTTAAGATGACATGTTTCCACTATGAGACAAGCACTCCCTCTGTCCACAGCTTATGTCAAAATATTGGGGGCAGCTCCCTGTGCCCTCATGTGACATTAGCTCGGTGTCACTCTCCATTCAGCAGAGCAGATCAAAGGAAAGGAAAATCCGACCTAAGCTCTGACACACAAAAACAGGAACCAAACAATGCTTCAAAAACCATCCAGTTCCTTCCCAAACATTTTTTTTTTTTTAATCAGCATTCGGCCTGGTTTTAGCACTAAGGCTACACCTAAACCTCTGTGGTACCTCTGTGCAATACATAATCTGTTGTCTTAGACACAACAAGCCCTTTAGATCATGTAAAAATGCCAGAAACCCTTAACTAAAGCTTGACAACATATTATTTGAAATCAGTATCAATAAACCGACTTCCTCCCTTTTTAAACAACCCACATTGCAGTAATAATATCAAGGTGCATTAATTATGCCCTAAATTATGCAGGCTCAATATATACCTGACTCTGGGGTTTTTAACACAGCAGTCTTAATAATTAATTTTTTTATTGGTTTTATATTAATAAAACAAAAGAAAGTGTGCTG